CTCAATTCACAAAAGCTAAGACATAGAATCAATCCAAATACCCATCAATTGAAGACTGGATAAAGAAATTATGAGATATGGACACCATGGAATACTACAAAGTGGTAAAAAAAAAAAAAGAAAAAGAAAAAAGAAATCCTATCGTTTGTCACAAAATGGATGAAAGTGGAAAACATCATACTTAGTGAAATAATCCAGCCCCAAAAGGACAAATACCATATGTTCTCCCTGACCTGTGATAACTAATATAGCACCTAAAAGGTAATCCTAAGAAGTGAAATTAACACTTTGCTATGCAATGACTTTGAACAGCCCTTGTCTCGACTGTTGAGGAACAGGTTTTTTTTCATACTTAGTATAGAATTAAATTGTATGTGTATAAGTTAATTGAGAATAGATATTAGTAAACAATAAGAAGGCACAGGAGAGGGAGGAGGCAGGGGGGTGAGAGTGTGGGTACAGTGGGAAGAATCCCTGTATTCCTAAAGCTGTGTTTATGAAATGCATTGTTTGTATTCCTGAAATAAAAGGTGTCTAGGGAAGAAATAAGCATGGCCAGAGGAAGGAATATTGGAAGAAGAGCAGGTTTTGGTGGGGCCGTGTGTCAGGCATAGAAGCAGGGTGTTCAGATGTTTCATAACTCTTGTTTGAAGCCTAATCCACGTTTTCTGAAGATCTTACGTTATGTGTCTTTCCTGGTTGTGCATCTCAGAGTCCAAGGTCTCTAAATTTACTGCATTTCCAAATCTCTACATGGTGTTCAGTTATAAAATTATAGACCCTGTCTCAGCATTTGGGAATGTTTTCCTCAATATCTTCATCTGTTTATTTTAGAGTATGCCTTACATAAGTATATTTCTGGCCTTCATGAATGTTACAGTCAAGTGGAGGAAAAAGACATTTATCAAATGGGCAATTACAGACTGGAAATACCTTGTAAGACAAGTGTAATGTGCTGTCAGTGTGGAAGAAAGCTGAGCCTGATCATGTCTAAGACCCAGGTATAGGGGCCGGTGCTGTGGTGTAGTGACTAAAGCTACCACCTGCAGTGCCAGCATCCCATATGGGCGCTGGTTCTAGTCCTGGCTGCTCCAGTTCCAATCTGGCTCTCTGCTATGGCCTGGGAAAGCTGTAGAAGATGGCCCAAGTCCTTGGGCCCCTGCACATGCGTGGGAGACCTGAAAGAAGCTCCTGGATCCTGGATTCTGGCTCCTGGCTTCAGATCGGCACAGCTCTGGCCGTTGTGGCCAATTGGGGAGTGAAGCAGAGGATGGAAGACCTCTCTCTCTATCTGCCTCTCCTTCTTTCTCTGTGTAACTCTGACTTTCAAATAAATAAATAAATCTTTTTTTTTTTTTTTTTGACAGGCAGAGTGGACAGTGAGAGAGCGAGACAGAGAAAGGTCTTCCTTTGCCGTTGGTTCACCCTCCAATGGCCGCCGCGGCCGGCGCGCTGTGGCTGGTGCACCGCACTGATCTGATGGCAGGAGCCAGGTACTTATCCTGGTCTCCCATGGGGTGCAGGGCCCAAGCACTTGGGCCATCCTCCACTGCACTCCCTGGCCACAGAAGAGAGCTGGCCTGGAAGAGGGGCAACCGGGACAGAATCCGGCGCCCCGACTGGGACTAGAACCCAGTGTGCCGGCGCCGCAAGGTGGAGGATTAGCCTAGTGAGCTGCAGCGCTGGCCATAAATAAATCTTAAAAAAGGACCCAAGTATATCTCTGTGGGGGTTATTGTCACTTACAACCAAAAGATTCCTTATTATAACAATATTTTGCTCTATTTTCATTTTAACCTGCACTTCAATTAACCTTTTTATCTTGTTTTCAAAATGGTATCCTTGGATGCTTATCTGTTGCATGATTTAGTTTCTTGTTTCAGGGACTCTTTTCTATTTCAGACCCAGAGCAGCTGATGCCCAGGTTGACGCTCCCTGCATCGCTGTATTTTAGTGCTGTGCCCTCCATCCTTTCTTTTCAGATGTTCACTGGTCCGAATGAGTAGACCTCAGCTTGCTGTGACTATTGCAGTTGCTTGGCCCATCCCTGAGGCAGGGTTGTTGGGTTCTTCCTGGACTTTCTCACTTCCATTTCTGATGCTTCAGAACACCTGGGCTAGTCCCCAGCGTCCTGAGGGCAGTAGACAGGTAGCCAGGGTAGCGTGAAGCTCGCTTCTGGGGGATTTAGTCCCTGGTGTTGGCAAGCTGCTGTGGCCTGGTCTTCCTCACGCTGCTGGCTTGCACCTCAGGGAGGAGCCTGCATGTTGGAGTCCCCCACCATTGCAGCTGGTTGTGCACGTAGTGGACCTGCTTGTCTCTTAGAGCTACTGGGTGGCTCAGCTTCCACCAATCCACTCAGGCTCCTCATTGAGTATTCTGCACTTGGCCCTGAATTTCTAGGTAATAAGTTGTTTTCCTAATTTTATTTGAAATGGAGAGAGAGAGAGAGAGAGAGAGAGAGAGAGATCTTCTATCAGCTGGGGCTAGGCCAGGCTGCAGCCAGGGACCTGCAACTTCCTGTGGGTCTCCCACATGGGTGGCAGGGACCCAAGTGCTTCAGCCGTCAGCAACTTCCTGGGGTGCACATTAACAGGAAGTTGGCTCAGAAGTTGAGCTGGGACTCGAATGCAGGGTGTCTGATATGTGATACAGGCATCCCAAGTGGTGTCTTAACTCTGTGCCAAATGCCTGTCACGACTTTTAGTTTTTAATTAGGAGTGTTGTGCTAAATTATTTCAGATTAAGCAACTTTTTCAGGAAGATAAGTTATAAATTGGCCTCAGTATCTTTCCATACAGTCTAATTTCATTTGTATTATATCAGGGAGAAGATATGAATTTTTTTGGTAATTTGTTTCTTTTTGATTCAATCAGTAACTATTTATGAGCATGTACTAAAGACTGAAGGTGAGTATTTAGAATGAGATTTTGCTGCCTTGATGGAGCTTTTATTCTAGGTGAGGAAACAAACAATGAACAAGTGGAGAAATGTTTAATATTAGGTCGTGATAAATGCCTGGTGACAGTGAAGCAGGATGGGGAATAAGAGCGATGAAGGTGGGGCCGTTTTAGAGTCTGGGCAGGAGAAGGCTTCTCTGAGGAGGTGATGTAGTAGGGAGACCTGGACGTATCCGGAATCCAGGCATCAGGAGAGTTCTCGCAGCAGCAGCAGCGGCTCTCGGGGGATGAAGAGCCTGGAAGGATTGCAGGATGGGCACCGGGGTGGCGAGTGTGGGCCACGTGAGGGGAAGAGAGGGGGAGGGTGGAAGGAGATGAGCTCCTGAGGCTCAGAATGGGAAAGCACATCTTTCACATCTCCCAAACCAAGCTGTGTCAGTTTTCTGGACCTGACACATGGTCCCCCAAGGCTGAAATTCACAGCAGACTTCTGTTTACCCTGTGACAGAGCCGTAACCCAAAACACTGTTGGATTTTTTAAGTTATACACTACAGACTCGTTATAGGAAGTTAAGGGTGTTTGTAATAATAACATTTGAAGCAGTTAGCCAAGTTTGGAAGGAAGAATTGAAGATAATTTTGGTAAAGGTGGCAACGTGAGCAAAGGTTCCTGACACTCCAAATCCATCTGTAATGAAGTGATAGTGCTGGCCCCTGTCATCTACATATCCCCTGAACTTGACCGTTTCTCATTACTTCCACTGCCATGACTTGTAGTTAGGAGACATCAGTACTTTCATTCATCACACTTAGAGCCCAGGATGAGCTTGGTCGTGGGTCTTTAGGGATTTTGCAGTTTACTTCTGGAAGAAGGCTCGGGAAGACCATGAGATGCTTAGATGAGTTGGTCTCAAGATACAGAGATGTGGGTGAATTTCCTTTATCATTTCTCATGTGAGGGGGTTGAGAATAATACTCACACCTTCTATTTGAGCGAATTACAGGTTGTAGTGTGCTCTACGTCTGTGAATTAAACTGAGCAGATACGCTTGTACTGCTTTTCAGGTCGACTCAGGCCCAGATAGATGCCTAAGGGCAGGCTGCACCGGGAATTCTGGCCTTGACTCTGCTTTGCTTACTGGTGGTAACAGATTGTTTTGATAATGATGTTAAGTCCAAGAAAAGCCAATTTCCCTCCCTCCCCTTGTCCCACCCCAACAGCACTCCTTTAAACTAACAAATATCTGCGAATGTTGTAAGTAGGCAGTCTGCCTGTCTGCCTGCTTACCTGTCTCTCCTGTTCCTTTTGTGCCGGTGTAACAGAACAGCACAGACTGAGTTACTTGGAAAGAATAGAAATTTATTTTCTCCCCTTCTGGAGGCTGGAAATTCCAAGGTCCAGGAGCTGGCAGATTGTGTGATGGCTGCTCTTGCCTCCAAGATGTTGCCTTGATGCTGCGTCCTCCAGGGAGGAATGCTGTGTCCTCAACGTGCTGTAAAGCAAAACCGACACTGCCTGAAGCCCCTGTTATAAGGGCCTTGACACACTCCAGAGGGAGGAGCCCTCGTGGCCCAGTCACCTCTAAAGCCCCCACCTCTTCATATGGTCATGTTGGCAGCACCTTAATTCTGGAGGGCGCCCATTCAAACCACAGCCCTCTAGTTCTCATCTACTCCTCTTTGCAGAATGTACACACACACACACACGATAGTTTATTCTCCTCTTTGCTTTACAAATGCTTTTACTTTAAATCTTTGGCGATATGTCGTGGTCATACATCTAGATCAGCATATCTGTGTCTGACTCATTCATCTTTTTATGCTGGCTGGTTTGATTTATTGCAGTCTGCATTGCTTTGAAAAGGAAAAGCCAATACCGTATTTAATGTGAGAAATGTAATGCCAATGTAGGACACGATTTCATTATAATGATTTACTTCTTAAAGTTTGACAAAGGAGTATATTTATTGACAGTTCTTTATTTGCTACAGGTTTTCACTTTGCTCAGTTTAATTTTTTCTTAATTTTCGTTAGAATACCAATTATTATTAGAGTGTTAACTAGTGTTTCCTTTTATAAGCAAACGCAATGTATTTTTTTCAGGTTATTATATCCGGGAAAAGTCTAAGCAACTCATGGCATTGCTAATGGATGAACAGTTGCTGTACAAAGAGAGGGAAGTGGCACGTCGGACTAGACGGCGCACCTGCTGCTCCATGGCATTTCCTAAAAAATTACCTGGTGCAGGTAGCTCACCAACAGCGTGCGCTTCTGCCCCTACGCCGGAGAACCCTGCCTCAGAGAAGAAGCACAAGCGCCCCAAGATCGCAAGCCTCCGGAGTAAAAGTGCGTGTAACGGCCACTGGCCCAGAGCACCGTAGGTCTCACTTAGAACAGTGTAAAAATAGAAATCACTAGGTTTAGTACTCAATTATGACTATTATATCAGTACTGCTACTACTGTATTAGACTTTATATGTGGAGAACAAAGTTGAGGATGTAATTCATAACTGGAATAAACTGTTCTCTAAGGGGCTGGGCACTATTTGATTCTACAGATCAATACATTGAAGTCTCTAAAATGTGCTTTAAAATTCTAGAAGTGCTTTATAATTTTTCGAGGACGATATTCTGTACTGTTTACCTTGCCTAAATCTTTAAACCAGGACTACTGAACTCTTTAAGAAAAGGACTTGCTCATAATGTTATGGTAGAAATAAGCAGGAAAATAAAATAGAATGCTCGTTTCTGCAGAATCTGCTAGAACATTGAAAAATGCCATCTTACCCCAATTTCCGTAGTTGCAGACCTTTGCTGATAAGTGTATATAGGGAGCAGGCAGTTTGAGGCTGCGAGGACATGAATGAAATGTGACTTGGATAACCACCCCTTGAAAGGAACTAAGCCTTGCCCCGTAAGGTGCGGGGCACAGTAGCAGTACCATCGTACAAGCATTTCCAGAGGCTTGCCTCCTAGCGTTACCAAGTGGCCTCCTCTGGACTGAGTGTGCCTTTCCAAAATTTGTCTGTTGCCGTCTAACCCCCTGTGCCGTGTGGGGAGGTGGGGTCTCTGGAAGCTGATTAGGTTGTGAGGGGTCCCTCGTGAAGGGCATCTGCGCCCTTATCCAGGAGACCCCGGAGAAGCCCCGTCAGCCTCCTCTGGCCAGGTGAGGATGCAGCTAGCAGTCTGCATCTATAGCCCCGAATAGGCCCTCGGACCAGGCCTGGCTATGCTGGCACCCTGATCTTGGACTTCTCTCGAGCCCGCAGAACCACAAGAAATCCGTCTCTGTTGTTTATAAGTCACTTAGCCTATGGGGTTGTGTTGTCAGCAGCCTGAGCTAAGACATCTATTAAGTAGGACCCTAAAAGTGAGTATGCAGAGGTTCTATATGAATAGATAACTTTAAATGTTAGGTGTAGGAAATTTAAAATGTTAATTATTAGGCCGGCGCCGCGGCTCACTAGGCTAATCCTCCGCCTAGCGGAGCCGGCACACCGGGTTCTAGTCCCGGTTGGGGCGCCGGATTCTGTCCCAGTTGCCCCTCTTCCAGGCCAGCTCTCTTCTGTGGCCAGGGAGTGCAGTGGAGGATGGCGCAGGTGCTTGGGCCCTGCACCCCATGGGAGACCAGGAAAAGCACCTGGCTCCTGGCTCCTGCCATCAGATCAGCGCGGTGCACCGGCCGCAACGCGCCAGCCGCGGCGGCCATTGGAGGGTGAACCAACGGCAAAAGGAAGACCTTTCTCTCTGTCTCTCTCTCACTGTCCACTCTGCCTGTTAAAAATAAATAAATAAATAAATAAATAAATAAATAAATAATAAAAAATGTTAATTATTAAAGTAAAAATAAGTTGTTGAATTGTTAATTAAAAATGTTAATGCCAATGTCAACATCCTACGAAAATTATCTAAGTACTTCTATGACTTGGTCATTCCCAAATGTTCACTCCATTTGTACTTGTGGACGGGGGAGTGGACATGAAGAGGTGGAGGTGAGCAGCTTGGACCTCTGGGGCCGGCGCTGTGGTGCAGCAGGTTAACGCCCTGGCCTGCAGCGCCCGCATCCCATATGGGTGCTGGTTCTAGACCCGGCTGCTCCACTTCTGATCCAGCTCTCTGCTATGGCCTGGGAAAGTAGTAGAAGATGGCCCAAGTCCTTGGGCCTTTGCCACCGTGTGGGAGACTCGGAGGAAGCTCCTGGTTCCTGGCTTCAGATCAGTGCAGCTCTGGCCATTGCGGCTAACTGAGGAGTGAACCAGTGGATGGAAGACCTCTCTCTCTCTGACTCTACCTCTCTCTGTAACTGTCTTTCAAATAAATAAAATAAATGTTAAAAGAAAAAAAAGACTGACCAGCTAAGATGCCAGCATCCCATATCAGAGTAACGTGGGTTTTGCTGTCTGAATCAGCTCAATGCAAATCCTTGGAGGAGTAGGTCATGGAGTTTCTGTCTCCCATGTGGGAGACCTGGATTGAGTTCCTGGCTCCCAGCTTTGCCATTGTGGGCATTTGGAGAGTGAACCAGTGCATGGGGCCTCTCTGTCTGTCATCCTCTCTCTGCTTCTGACATAAAAAGGCAGTTCATTGGAATTATAATAGTAAATACCACCCAAATGCTTCTGAAAGTAGTGGAACCTCTTTCTTTAAAGTACTCATTATTTTGAAATCTCAAAAAACGATGTCAGCCCCTTCTGAAATGGTGTTTTGGAGGCCTTGAGTTCAAAACTGATGCTAACAGTAGAGCAGTGGAGAAAGATAGCCACTTCCTTCACCCTTTGCGCTTTGTTACTCCTCTTGCTCTTCTTTCCTTTTCCTTGCTTCTTTCTTGTTTCATTGTAAACACCTAAGTACTGAATTTATTACTTGAAATTTGAATATCCAGAAATTTGGAGCTACAGCAGTGAATAAAATTCCTTTCAGCATGACATTAGCATTGTAGTGATAGGGATGGATGTTACACACATAAGCTAACTAGATATAAATACGTCTGTAGCAAGTCCATAGGATACAGAAAGCCGGGTTGGAGAGTAACAGAGAGAGCTTTATGTTAGGTCGTGTAGAAATGAGGGCCTGAAGGAGGTACCTTTCTCTGAGGGAGGAGAGAACTTCCACTTTGAATATGGCCTTGTCTAATTAAGGTCGGAGTTCGTGAACTCAGGAGACTTCCTTAGCCTTGACAGCTTATGACAAGAGCCTCAGGTGATCACTGACACCATAAATAATAGTGTCAGTTGTTAAATCAGCAACAGGAGTCACTGTGCACTTACTCCCCATGTAGGACCTCTGTCCTTAATGTGTTGTACTATGAGAACTAACAGTAAATAATAGTATTCAAACAACACTTTATACTTTGTGTGTCTGTGTGGGTGCAATCTGTTAAAAATCTTTACTTAGTATATACTGTTGATCTTCTGTATACAAAGATAATTAAAAATGAATCTTAATGAAGAATGGGATGGGAGAGGGAGTAGGAGATGGGATGGTTTGCAGGTGGGTGGGGAAAAAACTGCTGTAATCCATAAGTTGTACTTTCAAAATTTATGTTTATCAAATAAAAGTTTTCTAGAAAGGAAGGAAGGAAGGAGGGAGGGAGGGAGGGAGGGAGGGAGGGAGGGAAGGAAGGAAGGAAGGAAGGAAGGAAGGAAGGACGGACGGACGGACCTTTGGAGAAGGTGACCCTCTAGTCGGAGACCTGATTGTGGTGAGCAACTCATGAAGGACAAACTAAACACTGTTTGGACAGTTCAGTTTGATAAGCTTAGCAACAGTATACTATTGTAAGGCTTGGATAGCAGAAGGGATGTTTTGCTTCGTCACAAAACTTCGCTTTCTTATTACTGAAAACAGCTGTTGGTGGATTATTCGTATCACTTTGTGTAGAAATGAAGGAAGCACAGATTGGACCAAGGTTTTGCAAGAGACAGTTGTTTGAATCCATGCATATAGGACCTCCTCTGGGACTGTAGAAATGAGGGAACGGTAGTGTTTAAAGGTAGCCTAGAATGTAGAGAGGCGGTAGGATTCACGGATGATGGAGAACAAAGGGAGAAATTAAAGATGTCAGTAACATTTGAGTTAGGGAAAATGGAGGCAAGTAATTGTGCCATACAGGTAAATTTCCATTGCAAGATGTCTGAGTTACTTAGAGTGAAATGTGAAACAGGATGCGTTGCTGGGCTCCGGAGCTAGAGCTGGAGCATCTGTGTCGTGCTGCTTTGTGGTAAATTAGCGAGCAAAAAGAGGCGCTTTCGAGAAGGTATCGTGCACACATCAGTACTTCTTTTTTTTTTTTTTTTTCTTCCTAACCTTGGATGTTTTCTCCAAGTTTCAATTCTGGAAGAAGCTTGTGTGGTCTTCCCTGTTTGAAGAAAGAGGTGAACTGAAGGGTAATGGGCGCTTGGTGGCAAGCAGAACGCTACAAACAGCACAGTTACCACACTGCTCCTCTGAGCTGTGAGCATCAGCTAGCCCCTTCCCTGGAGGCAGGAGTCACTACAAAAACTGTGGGAAGAAGGCCGGCGCCGCGGCTCACTAGGCTAATCCTCCGCCTAGCGGCGCCGGCACACCGGGTTCTAGTCCCGGTCGGGGTGCCGGATTCTGTCCCGGTTGCCCCTCTTCCAGGCCAGCCCACTGCTGTGGCCAGGGAGTGCAGTGGAGGATGGCCCAGGTGCTTGGGCCCTGCACCCCATGGGAGACCAGGAAAAGCACCTGGCTCCTGGCTTCCTGCCATTGGATCAGCCGCGGTGCGCCGGCCGCAGGCGCGCAAGCGGCACGGCATATGGAGGGGGGAACCAACGGCAAAAGGGAAGACCTTTCTCTCTGTCTCTCTCTCTCTCACCTGTCCACTCTGCCTGTCATAAAAAAAAAAACAGACTGTGGGAAGAGTGTCTTCCATAAGGAGCTCTTGCGTAGTCTTTGCAGAGGACTTCATCTTATGGAGGAGGGATTGCTCTGGACCGTGCCGGATGTCCGAGCGTTCTGTATCACGGAAGCACTCTCCCGCACGTAGTATGTGATGGTTTTCGAACCAAAGTTACACTGCAATCATTTATTGATTCCAGTAGGTTTTTGGTGGATTCTTTAGTATTTTCTTTGAACAAATAATGTTGTATGCAGACAAAGACAGTTTGACTTCCTCTATTCCAACTTACATGCCCATCACTTCTCTCTCTCCCCTAATTGCTGTGGCTAGAGCTTCCAGTACCGTGTTGAATAGAAATGGTGAAAGTGGACATTCTTGTCTTGTTCTAGGTCTTAGAGGAAAATTTTTAAATTCTTCATTGTTCAGTGTAATACTGCCTTGAGTTTGTCATATATGGTCTTTATTGTGTAGTGGTACATTCCTT